AGGCGCATGTTATTCGCTATTAATTAAAACCATAAAGCAGAAAAACTATCAAATCATATCCTGTCTGCGCGCATACATATGTCCCACACATGTCCTATTTTTTGAATGACTACGCGTATGAGATATATATGTAAGTACCTACATAGTAATACATCAAGTGATGTGTCAACCACTCTAGTTCATAAAACATTGGTATTTACACATCAATTAACTACGTAGTTATCGTATTTATTCAAGTACTTATTTATTTTTATCTAAATACGTTTTTGTGAACAAATTGTTGTACACGAGTTGTATACTGTTTTAAATTAATATTATTTGTATCAATCCTGTAGTTGGTTTTATAATGGTAATTGAAAGTACCTAAAGTATTAGGTATGGAAAAATAATAAACAACCATATTTTCTTTATTCTAATATTACTATAAAATTACAAGGTGCTCCAAGATGACAGAAAACATGAGTATTCTATCATCTCACATCACATCGTATATTAATCTATAGGTACCGCACACATTTAAAATCAGAGTAGCTTACAAGTATTCCTAGTTATTTGTTTTGTTACATTAGATTTTATTATCCGCCAATTCTAAAATTTTCATAATATCCACAAGCTTTTAATGGAAATTGATATGTATATATATACGTATAAAGACGAATTATGAAAAGCAGACGCAAACATTCCACATCAAATGCGAGTAAATTAACACGTGTTAGGTGTGTTGCTCATAAACAGTGCTATTTTGTTTGTTAATAGAATCTTCTAAGAAGCAGACAGTGTTCTAAGTCATTTTCCAAATGAAGTATGAATGAATGAAACTGTATAGCCAGCAGTCTGAACATTTGCCTCTCATTTGCTTAGAATATTACGACTTTGTTGTGCAATGGCGCGTATCTAAATACTTAGATTATGTACCTAGATACCTACTTTGTTTTGTACGCCCAATAAAAACTGTTTATTAGACTTGGTAGGTACGTACCTATCAAAAATTATACATATATAGTATAGGTACCTACACTTTCGGACCCGACAGACGTTGTCCTGCATATCCACTTGAATATATAAACGAAAACTTACACACTGACTGCAGCGCCATCTGCCGGGCCGATTTGTGAATCTAAACCATCCAGGCAGCCACTAAAACACGTACCAAAAAATTTCATTTAAATCGGTCAAGCCGTTTAGGAGGAGTTCAGTGACATACACAATACACACGTAAAGCAGAATTATATATATAAATATGTACAAAAAATAATCTCTAAAATGTTTATACGAGCATAACTTCCAAAAGACTGCACCAATAATTTGTATTTTTGGTCCTTGCTGGGCTGTTCATTACAATATAATGGACAGTATAATGAACAATTGATATTGATGATAAAATCAGGGAATATTAACCGCGACAAGCCGTGACGAGCAGCTAGCATTTGAATTATACATACATACACTATTGACTATGCCATCGGTTCATTAATATTTAATAGTGATTACATTACAATATTTACATTAAACTGTCAAACACCAAGCGGTCACCGGTGACCGCGACCCATTGTTCTTTAATTGTGTCTATAAAACCGGTACTCGACGAGTTAATGGGTTTATTATGTATCCGTTGGCGCCATTATCTATTTTGGCTATAATTCCGTCATCTGTATTGAATTGACAATTAGTACATGTAGCCATAGTTCGAATACCTACACAAACACTAATAAAGTTTTATGGAACATTTGAATTCCATTGTTTCCGAAAATAACATAACGGTACGCCTTGTATTATTCGTAGGAATATACAGAGATGACTCTTGTGTTAGTAGGAGTCCAAAACCATACACTGAGCATTAATTCAAATTCCGTCTTATTACTGAGATTATAAAACTTATATTCCTTTACCTGACCAAAAGTTCAAAATGAGATCTGAGGAAGTTTTAGTAAAAGACGTATGTTTCAAAAATTGCCATCAAAGTTTCTTAATCATTCAGAAATATATTATTAAAAGGATACTTAGGGTTTAATAAAGGAAAATTAGAAAAACATACTAAGTTCATTAGGACCTAATCAAAGAAACTTCAAGAAATTTAGTTGATTTGTTCCAAGAATATAATTCTAAGAATAATTCTAGGTTCAGTTTATCGATATTAGTCATTATTTTTTATACGACACGTGCATTTAGTGAATCATGCTAATTATATATTTCGTCATAATGGGTCAAAACCTCACCGTGACTTATTATTAAAATTTATAAGTTTCTAATTTATTAAAGGCAATATCAACCGATATTTAAATAAAAATATTAACTGATATATATAATATCTTAAAAATTTGATCCAGGTTTCGAAAACCCTCGACAAAAGGATTAACTGCCGTACTCAGGGTCATTTAGAGTATTTTCCTTTACCTAGTCCTTAACAATAGTATTCGATACAAAATCTTTACTGAGTATTCTATATCTCTGAATGCTTTAGTTAAACAAGAAACGTATACGCAAGAAACTTGAAATATCTCAAAAACCATTATATTAAAACCCTATTAGCTATTCAAATATATGTACCTAAATAAACCTTCTAATTTTTTGCTTATTATCTATTATCTAGGTAGTAGTGTTATAATTACTCAATTTTTAATACTTTAATCCATTCCACAAGTACTCGATTTAGATAAAAAATAGGAAGGTACTCAAAATAAGTCAAAGATACTCCATCAAAACAGTAGTCAATATTACGGAAGGGGTCGTAACTCGCGAGCCGCTTTGGTTCAGCTAATTCTGACTATTGCGTGACTAGATAGCATCGATGCGAGTTATTAGTAAACAAACATACAGGTGAACCAATTCGACAAACATTGTAATCGATAATAACATTAACCTATATATTTATTGCTTTTACTTTGTTATTTTTATACAAATTCGTACAATAACCATGTATTGCGTTTAGCTTGCTATTTAGTAATAGTTCCTTAGTGATCAGGGTATTTTTTTCGTTCAAATTTAAAAGATATAACACTCTAATTTTTATAACTGTTTCCGTAAAATGATAATAAAACAACAATTCACGATGTCTCCCTCATAGTCCGTACTCTAAAACTTTTTGAAAATAGTAGATTATGTTTGTTGCTTATACGGAGCTGGAGAGGAAATAACAGGTTGCCGGGGCTCCAGCTCGAAGTTGCAGTAGTAGGAACGGGTTGGTTTTTAGTCAGTAAGAGTCTGACACTCCCTCTCGTTTCATACAGGCGGGAGAAGTCATTGGATGATTTTACCCCCTCAAAAAAGGATATGATTTAGAATTATTATGAAATAGTTAGGCATACATCTCTCCAAGTTAGTCTTATTAAATAGATAGATAACGTATTGAGGAGATTCTGTAACTCAAGCTTGAGATTCGACTGCACTTATAAAACTTCACTTTTGAGTAATTTGTGTTTTAGTACATAATTCCAAGACAAAGAAAGACACTAGATATCGTCACTACTTAGTGCTCATTATACAACTGAAGGAAGTATCTTGTTTTATAATAATTTTACCGACGGGATGTTCATTCTGATATCTTAACGCAGACTTCCTGCGAAATTTACTCTACATATGCTCTGTTTCAACAGTTAGGCTCGCCGGATGCGTCCACTGTTCGTTAATTATTTCATATTTAATTATATTATTAGAAACACTGCAGCTAATGATTGCAGTTATAAATAAACATGCTGATTACCTTATTGATTGTTAATAACCATTTATTGTTATTATTTTATAAAAATATTGCCCGTTTTCAGTTATCTTGCGGTTGTTATTTACATGGATATATATGACAGTAGGTAGGTAAAATGATAGGAACTGTAGTAGTGTGTTGTGGGAAAAATATTCGATACTTAATAGAATATTTTTAAAACATTGATGAATTTAATACCATTTGTACTTTTGAATTAAGGTTACTTGTTTGTGGGTAGTCTGCAAAAACCGACAAGCAAAGAAATAATTATTGTTTTCGAATTTTATCTTTTGACCCATACTTACTGTAATAGTTTTTTCTAGACATCCACGACTGTCTTATATTGTAAAGAAGTTACGCGTACAGTGTAGGATAGATACGAAGTTCAAATTGAAAAATTGCGTCTCACATCGTCTCCTTCTAGAACTAATGGGATAACAGGGGGCATAAATTGTATTGGCAACAACTTTAATTTGCTTCCAGTTGGTTACTTCACCCACACAATAATTCACGTGGGCATTGTCTGTACTCATGAGCCTATTAACAATATTCGTTTACGCACAAATACGTCAGTAGGTCCAAAAGCCAGTGGAAATATCATATTAGCTGTAAAAATGTCCGCCGCCACCACTTGCACTTAGCTTGATGAGATGACCATTAATTTGTTGATAAGTAGAGCCGCGGGGTCCTAATCACTTAATTGGTCGCTGTTTCCAGGGTTTAATACGATCAATTGTTATCAGCGAGGGACATGACGTTGTGGTTCACTTGCTATCCTACTGGTAGGATTAATTTTCCGAATGTTGACCGCACCTGTGTCACGCCCTGGACGCGAACATTGCTAATTAATAGTGTTTTCGATAGGTGTGCAGTAGTCCGCCCCGCGCTGTCGCGGCTCACGTTACCAATGCCATTAGTATGATGATAAGCTCGTCAACTTTCTACAGCCCCGCTGTTGTCACTCAGTTACCTGCCTCATGATATATTACCCTTCGATTAGCTCGTTGAAATTCTAAACTTGCCCTTGTAAAGCCATCGATATTTGCTTATCCATCTAAATTGATGAGGTACGTCTCCAATGATGATGGAGTCTACTTTTAAAGTTATTAGAAAATAGCAATAACATGCAAATTGTTTAGTTAATCATAACTTTATTGACTTAAGTATAGCTACTACATTGTTTTATAATGATGTTAATCACATCAAACTTTCGTCACAATAAATCAAGCATTAGCGACTACAATAAAATACATGAATTAATACGAAGTACTAGCTAAAACTTTGCTCCCATTGTCGCTTTCAGATAACCTACGACAGAATGGCCCGATTATTAGTCCCTGTCAAAGCGAAATAATACTGGAAGCGGGGCAAAATTTTACACTAACATGTAGAGGAAAAACGCCATTAAATTTTAAGCAACAAGAAGTACCCGAAGAAGTAATCGGACCATTTCGGATAGAACAGAAAAACACGTCAGACCTGGACGACGAGTCCATGTTCGAAACTGTCCTCGAGTTGTACAATGTTGACCGGTTTGCGATTGGCTATTACGCTTGTTACGACGACACGGTCAACGGTAGCGACATACTAAATAACCTCATCGAAGAACCTAACAATACCGAGCATATTGCCTTTATATATATTTACGTAGCTGGTGAGACTATTTTCGTAATGACATTCAAATACTTATTCATCCAATTGTGTCAGTATTTCATGATTGATAAAACTTTTAGGCACGGATAGCTTGTTTGCACCTTTGAGGGAAGTTATTGTACCAAGAAAACAATGTAAAGTTGTTATTGAATGTAGACCAACGACCCCAGATGTTGAAGTTAGCCTGACGTCGGTACGTATTATAAATTGAATGCAATCGATATAATTAAGTACGTTTATCAAGGAAATATACAAAAAAATGTAAATTTTAAAATTAATTATACTGTTAATAAAACTTTTCGTATCTAATATCAAAACATTTGTGCTAGTGCTACATCAACTGCTTTGTTGCATCTGCATGATATTACTTTATGAGATTTTAACAACAAACACTATCACTGTGGCCTAATAAAGCAAAGTAAAATATTGGCTACATAACATTAACTGTTATAGGTAATTAATTTTACTGTTAGCGTTTAATTAAAATTCACAACAAATGAACGTACACACTCAAAGCTTCAAATAACTAATGCTTATTGCTAAAGACCGAGCGGATACTAAAGCATGATAGATTGAATTAAATTTGTTTCATAATAACATTGTTAACATTCAAATTCAGGACTTTGCAGAGATAATATATCAGCAATATAGTCCGAAAATCGGGTTCATCATCGATAGCGAAACGCTCTCGGATCCTATCGGTTCGTTCTCGATGTTTCACGCTATCAACTGTGACTTTTCTAATGGACCAGACAATCGGATAGAGAAACCAGTTGTTTTCCAACGTAGGTGAATAGCAGATGTGTGCGTTTTAACAATTTTTATTATCATAAATATTATATACCACATTCACGAAAGGGTGTGTTGCCTTGTTTATTGCGAAAATAATTCAGACAGACACGACAACAGTCGAAATTAATTACTTTTTCTGAATGTGGCTTGTTGTGTTCTTCAATTTCATTATATTCAACAATTATATTTTATTGCAATATTATATCATTATATCTTGAATTGAAGAACACAACTGTATTATTCTGTATCAATACTTACTAACCAGTATTTATTTGGCATCAATACAATAGCAGAGTAGCAAGACACCAGAATCAATAAAGTATTCTCCAAAGATTGGGTTTTTAATGAGAACGTGTAGTAGGAATGCGTACAAATGCCAAGGACTACGGGGAAGTGAAAAAGAATGGAAACACATACGTAGTAAGTAGTGCTACAATCTTGATGTCACCTAACAAGGTAGCGTGGTGTGATGGTTTCATTCACTGGACCAAATACTGTAATACTATGTGTCACTAGGTGAAGTTTAATCCTCGATGTTTGTGGTACCAGCTTCAAGCTTACTACTCTTTCTTTCTTTTCTACTTCTTTGGTGTGTTGCTCTGCGTAAGTTCCGTATGCATGTACATGTTTGATATAACTATAACTAACACTGTATTGTTCTAATTTATTTGTAATTTAGCTAGTTTACGTTATGTGGTACTTATTTCCTAATGTTTTCACGGTGGGTTCATTTGAATACCATATTCAGTTTTTTCAGTTTTGCTATGGATCATCATTTGCCTGCAATGAGTTTTTAATTGAAGCATTTTGCGTTTTCTTTTCACAGTTTTTTTTATAATTTAAATAGATTAATGCTGCTTGGTTTTTAGTGACTGATTACCGTAATCATTAATATTATTTGATTGATTATAATTTTGAGTCGTTTGATATTATACACATTGATTATATATTATTTAAAATTATTATGATATAACAATTATATATTTTATTATTTTATAGTGTTAAAATGTATGTAGTTTACACGATTTTTTGAATATACTACTTTTATGATAAACATTTTTATAAGGTCACGAGAGTAACTTGCGGGTATGGAATAACATTCAGATTCCAGTTACAAGACTCCTTTGCAGATGTCTCTCTTGGTCTTATATTTCTACATTTCTAATGTAAAGATTATGTGTCTAACAAATTAATATTTTTTATTGTTTGCAGATGTTAGGGTTCCCCCGGTTCCAACAATACACAGAGGTTCCCCATTGTTTTTGAAAGGGGAAAATTTTACATTAAGTTGTTCGGTTGCTTATCAACCCGATACTGTTGTCAACTTGTATTGGGTGCTGCCTACTAATGTAAGAAAGGTATTATGCGTTATACTAACCTATTTAATAAACTTTGATAATAGTATAATTACACTAAAACTGACATTTAATGCTAACAAGCTTTACATTACGGAGCCACAGCTCTTCACAAAAAAAATCTTAATTCAACAAAAGTTATTAATAGAGTGGTACAATGGTCATATCGCATTCTGCGATCTTTGAAGATGGACAGGAACTGTCAGCACCGTTTGAACAGTCACAGTTTAAAGTTGTATAATCGACATGACTCCCAAAAACGTTTATTATGCAGTCATCTTTTGATCGATTTAACTAAAGATGGCCTTTTCTTGCCCTGTTCCTCACCGTCAGGAATGGCTCTTCGTCCCTTGTGATACTGGGGCATGACATTGTTAAATTTACCTGCCTCATTTTTCTGTTTGCATAAAAGAAGGAGAAAACCTTATTAGCTTGTTTACATTAAACCAGTCATTTCGGAATTTTGTGTCTAACAACTATTTTTCAAAGATACATTTGATGTAAGTTCTGATGATGTAAGATATTCAATTAGTAGTATTTTTTTAGGAGTCAGTTTTAGCTAAGTCAAACGAATATGAGATTGTTCGGGAACCATTATTATTCAAGAATATCACTATAATTAATGCGACAAAGGAACATGGAGGCAGTTACACCTGCGTCGCCAAAAATAATTGTGGTGAAAAGTCGAAATCCTTCACAAAGATTTTTTTACGTAAGTAAATAAATATATAAACATGTTACGTTATATGTATATTTACAATCTGTTTCTAAAATCAAATAAAAATAGAAAATGATAATTATCACACCCCCTTAAAAAATAGTAGGTCATCTATTGTATATACATCTCTATACAGATTAAAACTTTACTTTATTATTTGTAAGCCATTACTTATTATTAGAAAGTATTATTTTTTGATTGTGCTTTATGCCTAATAATAAACTATTTTTGTTTGTGTGTGCTTTTAAATTCACATTCTATTGTTCAGTGTGAATATTTGTTGTACATTTAAACGCACGCTGGCTGCTTTGCTGAATCTTAACATTGATAACAATTTCCCCATGTAGGTAGTTACTAGGATGTTCTGTACATGCGTTAAACATATCAAAATAATAATGATGACTGGGAATATAGAGAGATGTGTGCATTCAATTCTGCCCACAAAAACCTAAATTCAGAGACTTTACCGAAGTTTAAAAAGTAAATAATTCTATATCACTTTTATCACGATTTTAATTTCCACTGCCATTATTTGGCACATTCCTGATTTAGTTCTTAAGGACTTTTTTAAGCAAGGCTTTCTTCAGTCTAAAGTTGACGTCAGTAACCCAACTTTCTTCCCTTAGACAATTAGTTTCGGCAACACTGTTTTTGCTGCATATTAACAACCTGCTCAAGCCAGATATCTTTGGATACCCATATCTGCATTCATCCATTCATTTGCAAATGCAGGTGACAGCACAGTAGTTTAAAGGTACGTGTCCGATGCGCGGACTAGTGGAATACAGATCTGGTCTCTGAGTGAGTTCATAGTTAAACGCTTGAACTTCTTCTTGAAGGTGGTATCCGATTGGGGTATTGCCAACGTGATCAAGTTCCATCCCAATAAAACCCTGGCGTGTTTATTCTCCGCAAATTGAGTCAATTCCCGTTTAATTTACCTTCTACTGGTCCGGAATGTTTTAATTCCAATAACTGACCACCTTGAGCTTCTTGGCGTCTGACGCCCATTCTCAAGTTTCTCTCGTATATTGAGTCAAAGGCGCAACTGGCTGGAAGAAAGTTAGTTATCCTATCCGAGGATGTGGCGGTACTTCACACCGAACCAATTACTTGTGCTCTACCAAATACAAGTTCATCGTGCATAGAGTACTGTTCGAAATGGCTAGAAATGGTAAGAAGCCCTTGAGTCCATCGAAAGGTGCGCCAAAAGGCTAACCAACGATGATGCGCATGTGAAGGCCCGGCTCCAAAGCCTAAGCATAGACGGCAAGTCGGATATATTCTGGGGTGTGTGTTGGGGAATTGCACAACTTAATTCTTCCCAGTACATTTCACCATCACACTACCAGACAAACGGAATCTACCATATAATATTATTATGGTAGGTAGACGTTTCACTCGAACGAAGTGTTTCGCTTCAAGTATCCTTGTGCGAACAGCAAAAAGTGGAACTGTTTGCCAGAGTCTATGTTTCTTTAAGAGTACAAGCAGGATGTCTTCAAGTCTCGAGTGAATAGGTTGCTTGTGGGCAGGCATGCTCCATCGAGATAGCGGCCTAACGCTTACCCATTACCAATAAAAAAAGTAGGTAATCATAAAATATTTGTCATGTAATGGGAAGCGTTCACGGAACCAACATCGTATGTCGTTCGTAACATAACATATTCAGAGACGGTGGTATTATAAAGGTTCTCAACATGAATGTGTTATTATTTTAAGTGCAAACTATAAAAGTTACATTTTATTTTTACGTGGTTTGTTAATTTTAAATTAAAAAATTTCCTGCCGTGTTAAAAAATTACAGTGCAGATTACATTACATATTATTTTATATTTTTAGCCGAACCTCGTCTTAAATTGACTCCAGTGACTACAGATAATCCGAAAATAACGAAACAGAAAACGGTGAAGATCAACACTGAGGTAGTTGATTATCCGACAGCGAGTTTTTATTTGTGAGTATATGTAACTGTAATGTATGTATTGTATATGTATAACTTGTTTCTAAAGTATAGTAAGTAAACCTGAGCTACCGACTTTGTTTTTGAGGGCAATTCAGCAGATGTATCACTTGATGGTAAGTGATCAATCAGTGCCGCCCTACAACACCACTAGACTAGTGGTAACACTAGAACAGACACTATATAATAGTCCATGATGCAGTCCATCCGCTTCTCATGCCTGAGGGTGCGGGTTAAAAACCGGACAAGTACTAATGTGACTTTTTCCGAGTCACATGTACTTTCTAAGATTATTTAGGCAACACTGACAAACGGTGAAGGAAACCACCGTGAGGAAACCTGGGCTTATAATGTCTAAGTTATAAGTTATTTTCCAACTCGTATTGAGCAAGCTTGGTGGTTAATGCTTAAACCTTCTGTATGTGAGAAGAGGCCTTTGGTCAGCAGTGGCCAAGTATAGGCTGTTGAAGGTTGATGTATTTTTCTTGTGAGAATAAAGTGCTTTTTTGGGTACCTATATGTATAATATTCCTTATAGAGGTAGATATATATATCTTTATGATAGAGAAGTGATTTTATTCTTTATAATGTTGTTTATTTTCAGTTTACGCAATAACGTATCGTTGCCACTAGATGACGAGGAAAATGATAAATATGATGTCACTCGGAACCCTTACACTGGTGACGTCATTTTGAGTATATTTAAGACAGATGTGTTCGATTCTGCTAACTATACTTTAGTCGCTAGTAATGGGTACTTAAAAAAGAATTACACTTACGAAGTGTTAATAAAAGGTAACAAAAATCATATGTTAAATTCATATTTTTAGTTCTTCACAGTAACTGGCTATTGGATAAGCTTCCAGAGTACCAAACATGAATAACTATCGCATTCGTTACGTAATAGATTCGGCGCTTGAATTAAGTATTGGATATATGGATAAAAATTATACGTATTATGTACAAAGGTACAAGGTACTTAACATCACTAGCAAAAGTGCTAGTGATGTTAAGTACCTACCTAATTTATAATTATTATGTTGTTCTATATATTTCTTGATTATGTTCTACTTCAACAATTTATAACTTATACATAAAGCGACACTATGATTTATAAATACGTTATTTATATGAATTATTTCATAAATAAGTTGTAATGAATACATATACCTATAATTGTATTCATCACAACTGATATGTACAAAATTATATATATGTATACATTAATAATTATATTAAGGAAAATAGAAATGACTCTGTCTTTGTCTTTCAGCAAAGCCAACGATCAACTTTGGACCTTACGTTGATAAGAGATATTTGCAGAACAGTCGTGCATCCTTGCAGTGTGTAGTTACAGGATTTCCTCTGCCCGAAGTCACTTGGTCATTCTCTAATGGAGAGACGCAGGTAAAGATTAAACCTTTTTATTTTCCAGCATTTTTATTTTCTCCTAGAAACTAGCTTTTGCCAGTGGCTTCGCCCGCTGTCCCAGGGGTAAAAAGCCTATGTGTTACTCCAGACCATTATACCCTACAGCCGCGACCCGCGTCGAGCGCGGCAACCGTTACACAAAAATAATCCTTATAGCATGATTCAGTATTCACGCACGACTGGTTTTTTTTACGATGGCTTTTTTTAAGGGGGCAAAATCATCGAAATCATAATGATTTATCCCACCTGGGTGAGGCGGGAGGGAGTCATCATCATCATTAACAGCCTATAAATGCCCACTGCTGAGCAAAGCCTCTTCTCACACGGAGAAGGTTTAAGCATTAATCGCCACGCTTGCTTAATGCGGGTTGGCGAACAAACAACAAACAACAAACTTATAATTAGAAATTATAAGCCCAGGTTTCCTCACGATGTTTTCCTTCACCGTTTGTCAGTGGTGTCTAAATAATCTTAGAAAGAACATATAACTCGGAAAAAGTCACATTGGTACTTGCCGTTGGTAGGTTTCGAACCCGCACCCTCATGCATGAGAAGCGGGCGTCTTATACCTCCGGGCCACCACGACCGGGAGGGAGTGTCAGTCTCTTACTGACTAAAACCACCCCGTTCCTTCCCCTGCACTTTGAGCCGGAGCCCCGGTAACCCGTTAAGTTCTCCGCGGCTCCGTATCTGCATTAGCCCTATTGGGCCCCATCCGTGGTGGTCTGATGGCTCGTCGACGCGCGCGTGGAACGCGATGGCTTATTAGCGTATTTCATGTATAAGTTTGGTGTTTCTATACCGATTTATAATATTTTTTTATTGAATAGGTAATGTTAACTTTTTTTAATTATGGATGAGTTAGAGTATTATAAACGTAAGTGTTAACATATATAAGCAGAAAGCTCCGAACTGCTAAGCTGTCGGGAGTTACACGTGTTATTGCGAGTCAATCATAAAAGATAGACATATGCTGTACTGGGATATTTTTTGGATAATTTTATGTATAACATTTCCGTCATACATGATTTCTATGTAGCTTTAACCAATAAGGCTGCATAAGCAACGAAAGCTTAAAAAATGGAGTAACTTCACCCGTTTACCCAACATTTCCCTTTACTGCTCTGCTCCTATTGATTGTAGCGTGATAGAAAGTATAATATAAACTTTCCAGGAGTATGAAGAATAATTGTACCAAGATTCGCTAAAAACCGTAGAGTAGTTTTTGTACAGACAGATAGACAGACAAAAATTTTACTGATTGCATTTTTGGCATTAGTATCGATAACTAATTACCCCCTGATAGTTATTTTGGAAATATATTGAATGTACAAAATTGACCTCTCTACATATTATTATAAGTATACATTATCTTTATCCTTTGGACTATATAGTACTTTCATTGCAGCCAAGTACATCCACACACGTGCTCTCCAAGTATAAAGAAACAGCAATTCTAGACATGACGGTGACTGAATCCGGCAACGTATCTTGTAAGGCATCTAACAGTGAAGGTACAGTGATAGAAACGAGAAGACTTCTCGTTTATGAGATTCACAATGGATTCGGTATAATAAATCCAGAGAAAACTTGGTTCTCGCAAAATGAAGACGTAAATATCACATGTATTGCGTCCAAATATGACTTTTACAATGTAACTTGGTTGGGCCCAGACGGTGAAGACCTGAGAGGAACGAGTAAGTTCTTAGAATCACTACTATTTAAAACATAACGTGACCCACGTCATTAATGGCTCCACTAACAAGGTTCCTTATTTTCAACAGATGCTTTGGAATATTCGACAAATTCATTTTCACTCATTGCCAAATTGAAATTTCCGCAAATATCTTTGAACCACAGCGGTTTGTATACTTGTCAAGGATCGAAGTTGGACACCAATTCTGAGTCCGAAGTCGAATATATCAACATTACAGTTGCTCGTAAGTTGGTCATTTTAGTAATCCATAGAAATTACATTGTATAGCGGCATAATGTGCACCTCTGCCTACCCCTTCGGAGATAAAAGGCGTAATGTTATGTTATGTAGAAATTATAAAATAATTTTGATATATTTGTTTTTTACAAGGGTTTTATGTTTGCAGCTCTTCAACCACCAATAATAAACCAACCAGAAGATGACCAGACCATAGAAGTAGTGACGTATCAAGAGGTAGAACTAACTTGTCAAGCCGAGGGTGTGCCGCCGCCTAATTTAGAGTGGTACAAGGTAAAGTTTGACGTAACATTGTTTTATTTACTCACTGTATTATGAAGTAAGGGGGTTTTAACTACCACTCCCAGGGTCCCACTACGTTTTAGTGTTATTAAGATCTCCGCCCTACGGAAATATTGTTGTTATCTACAATTTTAATCTATAATCTTTGATAGAGGTAGGAGAATTATAGAAAATTAAGACAAAATTCATTATGAAAACTCTGAATTTATTACAGATGTTCAGAGACGATTGAGCGCTAAAATTTTACATAAAAGTGCACCTTTTGATTGACTTTTTATGTATGATATAAGGTTAATAAAAATATGTCAACCACGACGCAGGAGAAAACCCTAGTGGGGCAACGTTTAAAAAAATGTATCTAACTACAATTCCATAATACAATTTTTGTTTATATCTTTACTAGGATGGCGTTTTAATGAACAATGACACAAATGCAAAAATTTACATTCATAAGATCAATCGTACTATGGTGAACTCATCAATTCGAATAGATCGGCTGGTAGAAGAAAACAAGGGATCCTATGAGTGTTCAGCTAGCAGCGATGGACAAACAGCAAGTCGGATCTATACAGTGGCATTGAAAGGTATATATTATACTTATAAACTTTGTGTAGATACTTCTTAATTAATTTCTAAACGACTGCACAGTTATGATGAGTGTTATGGTATTTGAATTTGAATTTGGTCTTTCTTTTTTTTTCAAAAATGTATGATTGTTGTAAATAATGATATTTTTAATTGGAGTGAACCATTTTCTTATGCATTTTTGTCATTTTTCAGCATCGTCCTACGAATTATATTTGAGCATTATTCTCGTAGTCATCTTTGTTTTAATCCTCGTGGTTCTGTACCTTATGTGGAGGGTTAGAAAGGATACCCAATTCAGAAAAGAATTGAAGGCGTCTGGTCTTTTGTACTTCAATGAAGGAGCTACGAAGTCGCTGAACCCAGATCTGGGCATTGATGAGCAAGCCGATCTATTGCCATATGATGAGAAATTTGAATTCCCTGCCGATAAATTAATTCTTGGTAAGATCTTTTTATTTGGGCTCTATTTAAATTATATAAAGTTTTAATTAACCCTTTGAGTACCGTCATTATAGACACAATTAAAGAACAATAGGTTGCGGTCACCGGTGTCCTCGCGGTGTTTGACAGTTTAATTAACAAGTCATTTGTAAAATTTGTAGGTAAACAGCTGGGTGCAGGTGCATTTGGCGTAGTGTATAAGGCGGACGCACGTGGCATCATCAACGCTGAAGAAACAACTGAAGTTGCGGTGAAGATGGTTAAAAAAACCGCCGACAACATGTATATCAAAGCATTGGCCTCTGAACTAAAAATAATGGTGCACTTGGGCAAACATATAAACATTGTGAACCTACTCGGAGCGTGCACGAAAAACGTTGTGAAACGTAAGACATTTTTGTTATTAATATTACGTAGAAAATATTATTTCTTCTTGTTAAATTTACAATTACTGCTCCTGAGATTTTAAACCTAACAGTGAATTTTGTGTTAATAATATAATAATAATAATAATAATATGGTAAAGACATACAATAATAATAATAATTTATTTATTCATTCAGATAATACAATCCATATGGTTAGTAAAGACATCTACAACTTATAAACTAGTATTAGTACATCAAACCTCATCATATAAAATTAAAATAATTTGTCATAATATGTAATCTAATGATAATTTAGCAACAATACTGCTGACTTTCACTACTTCTGGGCACGGTTTGTAGGCATCACTTGCGTCTTCGTCCAGTGTTTCAGCATAAGGCCATCAGTCCTATCCGCCACGGTCATCAGAAGACTGTTGGCGCTGCCCCGCACCCGCTGCATCAGGGAGGCGACACGCTTTCTTATGATTGCGTAGAAATCATCTATGCGTGCATCAGCGAACATCCCCGATGCGCTACAGTGTCGAGGCAGCCTCAACAGTGCCCTGTACGCGTTATTATATTGGACTCGCAAGGCGCTGTAAGCCCTCTGCGTGTAGTCGACCCATAGGCTGCAGGCATAAAAAGATTGACAATATGCCCTGAAAAGTGTAGCCTTCACATTATGAGAACACTTTGCAAACCTGCGGATCAACATATTGCTCCTGACTGACAGCGCCCTACGTTCCCTCTCCATGTCTTTACTATCAGTTTGTGTGTCAGTGACCCAGTGCCCCAGATACTTAAAAGAAGTGACCCATTCCAACGCAGTCCCCGCAAGTGCAACGGGTGGTATATCATAGGTTTTAGTACCTGCCCTGAAGAGTAGACACTTGCTCTTCCTTGCATTATACCTAAGACCCTGGGCCCCGGCATATCGCTCACACACCGACAACAGCGTCCTGAGGGCGCTGATCGATGGGGCCAGAAGCACCATATCATCGGCATAACTAATGTTGTTGACAAGTGTTCCGTTTATTGAACAACCTACCATAGTGCTGCAGAGCTCACGAACCAGCCCATCCACATATAGACAGAAGAGTTTCGGCGAAGTCAGGCCGCCCTGCCTCACCCCACACTCCAGTCCATACGGATCCGATAGCGAACCCGCCCACCTCACCATATTGGTTTGATGGCTATACCAAAACTTGAACAGCTCAATAACCTCACCCGGAACCGTCGTCTCACCATACAGCTTCCTCCATAAAACATCATAGGACACTAGGTCGAAGGCCCTCGATAAATCCAGAAAACAGGCATACACAGGAGTCTTCCTATCCGTGTAGTATCGAACAGTGTGCTTGAGACAAATAATAGCGTGTTCAGTGGACAGACCAGCCCTAAATCCAAACTGGGCGTCGTGAAGCGACAGATGTTTATTCAACTGTTTATCCAGCATACCGTCCAACACCTTCGCAATTACTGTAGCCAACGATATTGGCCTATAGTTATCTATGTCAGAAGCATCCCCAGTGCTATTTTTAATGACGGGCACCACCAGGGTCTTCATTAGGTCGTGCGGAAGGTACGTGTGTGAGAAACATAAATTAAAAAATAAAGCAAGTACCCTGGGCATATGAACACCTGCATTTTGTAAATGCTCGATGCTCAGAGAATCGTGCCCAGGTGATTTCCCCCGCTTCATGTCTCTCAACACTGCCGCGATTTCCTTAGCTGAAACCCTTACCAACGACCCCATCGCAGAATCCCTAGTTGTCGAGGCCCCTCCCGCTGCACCTAACGGGGACCTCACCTCAAAATGGTTTTTAAATAGGTTTGAGATGGCTGTTGGCTCGCTAACACCCTCAACATTCGCAGGAAGGCTCGACCTGTACCCCAGCTGGTTCGTGTGCTTCCAAAACTTACCGAAGTCTCTCTTGTCATGACAGGATGCTATAATGTTCATTTTAATTTGTTCCCTATTTTCCTGACACCACTTCAGTTTACTTTTAAATACTCGTTTCGTTTCTCTCATGTTACAATAAACAGGTCCGAATTTAGGTTCACCACATAGCACCCAATTCTGATAAGTTAAATAGGGATATTTTGTTTGAGAACTATAAACAAAAGTAGCTATAGTAAATATATTAATGAACACTCATTTCTACACAGCAACCATATTGTACTAATACATATAGGTATCTAGATTAATTAAAACCAGGTAGTAATAGCAGGAATAGATCGCCTTCACCAAGAACTCTTTAAGATATCCACAAGTTTTATACTTGTGAACCCGTTTATTACACCATAATAAATATTTTATTACATCATTAGGAACGATCAACAAATTGACTATAGGCTTACGTAAAGGTCCTTTCAATGCTTTCTGCTGACTCACTTTTATTAGACTCCATCAAGGTAATCGTATTACTTCATACAATTTAATTTGAAAAAAATGTTGCTATGTATACCATCCATTATAATTCCATTTATAATTTGAGAATAGCTGCTTTAAAGGTAGAGAAAAATATGCAAAAGTGGTTCTTATTACAAAGACATTAAATAATTAAAGCGTATGACCAAAAATATAATATACATATTATACGATTATCTAGCTCTGTTATTCAAATAGTGGTATTTATAACATTTACTCAAATACCAAACAAAAATATTTTTTCATAGTTTCTGTTAGTGCGTTCAAACACAGTTATATAAACAGTACTAATGAAAGATAATCTTTTAATTCCAGGCGAGTTGATAGTGATTGTAGAGTATTGCAAGTTCGGTAATATCCACAACTACATGCAGAGGCACCGCGAGGTGTTCATTGATCAGCTCACGGATAACAAGGAGAAGAATCTGGGAAGGGTCAACAGAGGATTCTCTAGCAGCAGTGGAAGTACTGGGTGAGTAATATTGACATTAAAAGTGAGGTATGATCTTTTCCTCGTGGCGGCTATAAAACTAACTTTATATTCGCTAGTCATCTTTAACTTGATGTCAGGTAGATGTTAGATAGAGAGTAGCTGTTTCCATCGGCAAATACATTGAAGAGGATATATTACGTTAGGAGTCTTAAGTGGTCGTAGAGAATTTGTTGCAAAATACAGACATAGCTCTCAGCCTGAATGATCATAGAATATCATAGAATAATAAACCAACGTCCAAAAATTTGTGACAGTTAACTGATAGAATATGGCTTGGTCTACATAATAAGAGAGTTTACCATAATATTTACGCTAAGATATAATAGAGGTATATCATTTGAAAACTAGCAAAAGTATTTAATAGGTTTTTTGTTCACAGAGCACACTCAGACTATTTCGCTTCATGCACTCAGGACACCGACCACACATTTGTCAACACGGCTAATACTAACCGATCGACAAGGAAAGGTAAATATATTATCCTTTGTTAAACAAAATGTCTAGGACGGACGACAAATTATTATATACAAATAAGCCACAGATACTAATAAAAAACAGCTAAAACATATTTTTTAACAATACAACAATAATACGATAAAAACTGAAGAAGTACGTGGGTTGTAGCCTGATTGATTTAGAATAGATGAAGCAAAAAGTGTAGGTTATAGAAATATTATTTTTAAATTAGCTACAGATGAATCTAACACCGATATCGACATTGAATCTTAACGCTCAGGCAGAATGATTGGCATGATTGTTTGTACAATTTATTTGCATCAAAGAAACGTCAAAGTTTATACATATACATTGTTAATTAACAACAAGTTTTAGTTAATATTCTATTGCATCAATATGTTCAGTAAATCTCCCTTTTTTACCAGACAATCAAAATCACCAAGTGGAATTCGTAAAAGGTAACTCTTTGGAGCTGATTATTTCGCACCAAATCTGATGTTTTTCATTCAGTAATTACTGTGTTAGCATAATATGTTTTGCGATGTTGTCTAATTTATTATCTCTGTGATAATACGTAATTGCATTCACGTTATCTTTTCAGTAATTTTGTGATTTATTTTGTGCACAAAATGTTTTTGTTACATTAAACTTACTTATCGCTTATAACTAATTGCACTTGCTTTTCGAACACTTATAGTATTAAGAGTAGATGTTTTGAGGTTTTGTATCTTGTTTTGAATGTATTACTTATAAGTTCTTGGTATTTTTCACAAGAAGATACCTAATATTAGAGGTATTCAGTTTACTTTTTGCTACTAATCTAGTACTATACTTTTTTTACTAAAACTAATGGAACTGTTATATTGTTGTACACACAAATCACGTCGTCACGTCGTGTACGACAATCACGGGACAAACCTATTACAAAACACTGCAGGTAGACTTTCAAATTTTAGTCAATCATCGGGTACAGACTGTAAATTAAGAACCAATCACCATGGGTCAACCTTCTCCGATCTTACAATTTTATTCATTGGATTGTTGTCTTTATATTTCAAAACATTAAGTTGAAAATATAATAAAAAAAAGAAAACAAAAGAAAGTCGTAGATTTTCGTTCTTTGTATCGTATCGTTATACAGATAGATCGTTTGCTGGCTATTGTACAATAACATTATCATAGGTCAACCATTCAACACATTACAACGTAAACTGTTCGAAATATTCTGACAAACATACTTCAACGCTTTTAACTTCAGTTATATTCAAATAGTTAACAAGATCAAACGAATTAAGTACCTATTTATTAACCACCTTTTTAAGGATGATTTAAGTGCACACGCTTTGACGTATACATACGTACCTATTACCAATAGTACCAATACCAACGTAGGTATTATAAATATTCGATCTAGGTACACATACTTACACATCAAACTGTGATACCAGTAAAAACAGGCCGTAGAATGTGCGGGAAGATCATACAAGGCGAGGCCACCATAAAACGGTTTTGTATAGCTCGATATTACATGTCAAGCTATGCCTTCTTATGTTTTTGATGCTCATTGTGGTAATTCTTAAGAAAATGAAATACGAATTGATGCAGTACCGACTAAAATGTTAGCTGTACCTAATAGTATTTTGTATTATTTTAACTACTTAATAAATAAAAAGAAAAATTTTGTTTTACATTTGATGCTTTGACTTGAAGATTGTTGATCAATTTCTTTTAGTTCATTATGTGCAATTTTATCTAAAATCATAACATATACCTGCTCAACTCTATAAATAATAAGAGAACTGTCTAAAATGTAAAACACTTATGTAAGACTGCGTTTCATCTCTATTTAATGGTCTGAGCTGGCCGTAACTAGATGCAATCAACCTCTTATGCAATTGCGACATGTCTACAATAGACGTGAACTACTGAATGGTGTACAAGGATAAAGCTAGCGAGAATACTCGTGCATTCACGTGTATAATACAAGCAATTAACATCATCAATACATATAACAAATAGTGAAATGGTGTGTCCGTACAATAATAAGTAGTGAGATGAGGAAATAGTAACAGAAAAAAACGTTGTCTGTCTGGAATTGTGCCCGGTATATGGCAATAGGCTCACCCCCTATTACATGAGACCCATAAAATAAATAGTGAAAAGTGGGTTTTACATTGTACAGTGGCATTAAGTGCCGTAATGTACACCTCTGCCTACCCTTTCGAGGATAAAAGGCGTGATGTTATGTAAAAAAACGTTGTATATGTTTGTCTCCAGTCTCCAAAACTAATTGACGGATTTGAAACTTTTTTGTTATATAGGTAGTTAATAAGTGCGGGCAAAATTATATGGGATATTCATTTTTTTTAGTAACTGGAATAAAAACGGTAATTACCTTTTTGTACGAACAAAGTCGCTGCTAGAAGTTAGTTAAGAATAAATGTCATTCGGAAAACCTCACGTTCTAACATTGTTGTATAGAATTTAAACAAACAATGCCTATCATGGTGGTTGTCCTATTTTTTATTTTTAGACTTGCGGTTGAATTTTTTACTGTTAGATAGGGGCCTTATACTTTTTTTCCTTTAGTTTTGTGTTAGTTAAAACGCATAAACTTTAAACGTTTCACGATTCTCTTAGAAAATTCTAAATCTCAAACAAATTTTGAGGACAACCTTTCCGGTTCATGTAAATGAATTTTTCTTTCCTTCTTCCAGTATCCGAAGGTTATGTACAACCAGAATGGCGTACGAACTACGAGAGTGACTACAGTTTCGATGGACGTAACCCCCGCCCTCTGACTTCTCGGGACCTGCTGGTTTGGGCCTTCCAGATCGCTAGAGGCATGGAATATCTTGCTAGTAGAAAGGTTAGTAAACTGAGAAAGTGATACCTACCTACCATGGCCTCACAGAAAACTAACGTGTGAAACCAGAACTTTGTGTTTCGCCGTGCCAGGGAAGAGATTCCTGAGATTATCATTGGATGATTTTTTTATGGCATAAGCCGGTAAACGAGCAGACGGAACACCTGATGGTAAGCAATCGGCGTCGCCCATGGACACCTGGAACACCAGAGGCGTCACAAGTGCGTTACCGGCCTTTTAGGGATTAGGAGTTTGAAGATTGGGGATGGGAAGGGTAATTGGGCCTCCGGTAACCTCGCTCACATGACGAAACACAACGCAAGCGTTGCTTCACGTCGATTTTCTGTGATCCATAATTTGTTAGAATACGTCGTATTCTTAAGCGCTATTTGTTTCTTCTTGCTGTATCGTTAAAAAAGCAGCAGGACATTACAGATTAACTTGACGATTCTTGTCATAAAGTATGATGAAGTTAGGTTTATTATAGGTATACTTACAAAGTGCAAGAACAGATATTCTACTCATTGGCATACGTTGTCAAGGAAACTTATTACTGCCTGGTTTTCCTGGTAGATACATATTTTTACCCGCATGTCGAAACTAAATTACTTATTGTTGCAGTATTATGTAATAACCATGTTAATGAATATAGTCTAGACTGACTATGATTATTAACCTCTGTTAATTTTCAGGTTCTTCACGGTGATTTAGCGGCAAGAAACGTATTGTTAGCTGAAGACAACATTGTGAAGATTTGTGACTTCGGTCTCGCTCGAAGCATCTATAAAAACGATGAATATCAAAAGAAAGAAAACGTGAGTACTCACATGATTCTACAATGACCTTTATGTGCATGAAGGTCATCTTGAAAGTAAACACTTATTCAGATAGATCGAATATTAACGTATGTACGTCGTAAATAGTATTTAAAACACCATTCAAAATGATTAGTGCGTATTTTGAAAAGAACACTAAAAAGTAAACATTTTAAACAATGTTTACATCTACTTTGAACAATTTTTTTGTATTTAAACTCATTGTTCATTTTGTCAGTACAATACAAAGTCGATTTTAGATAATAATGTATAAGTACTTACATGCCTTTGTCACTTAAATGTAATAAATAATACAATGTTCCGATTCTATTGTGGTAAAAAAAAATAAGTTAGGCAATCTGCAATCTCGATTGTAATGATGTTATCAATAAAGTAGTGCGTGCGTACCCTGCACGTTTTTATTCCTTTGGGAGATTGCAGAACCGATACGTTACCTACAATCGGACAAAGAATTTTGAAAGCGTGTTTCTTTTTGGGAAGGTTTTATCGGTATGTGTTGGTATGTCACAAACAAATCTCACTAACAAAGAACTTGATAGCGCGATTAAAATATGTATTTGATATGGGGTCAGTCAGTCGACTCTATAGTCATGTTAGTCTCTAGTCATGCTATTTTTAATTCAACTTATGTATAATAATTTTAATTGTGGTAACACCTAATTAATTCATGCCTTTATCTTAAAGGTGCAAGCCGAATTAACAGAACGTTTGCTTAACAATTTTAGAAAAAATCTAAAGAGGTATTACCTAAAATTAAGATTTTATGAATACCCACTCTAAAAGTAACAAACTGTCTTAATTTTTTTAAATGATTCACAGAACTTTTAATACGTAAAGCTTAAAATAAGAAAGAATGCTGCTATTTCCCAAATATTTATTCCCATATTGCACCTACAGTTTACAACTAACAACAACCTAATGTTACAATTCAAACGCATGGGATTCGTTTAGTAATTAAATTTCCTTTTACTTCCAGTGTCTCCTCCCTGTCAAGTGGCTGGCTATCGAGTGTATGACGGACCGCATATTCTCCACCCAGTCAGACGTGTGGTCGTTCGGCATCGTGCTGTGGGAACTATTCTCCCTGGCCAAGACACCCTACCCGAATATCAGTCCCGCTCATTTGTTGCAGTGGCTTTCTGAAGGGTGAGTAAACTTAAGCTTAGATCAGAAGCTATGAATGAAGATGTATACAGCTCAACTGTTGTTGGAAATAAGACCACGGCACGTTGGAAAATGAAGTAAAAAGTTCAAATTGACGTCTATTGGATTCACAAATTGATTATAATGCTTTAAAATAGTAAACGACTGGAATCTGTAGTTTATTATTTATCTCACTTGCTACCAATTGCATAACGATATCGTAGTGAGTCAGTAGTAACATAACATCACACTTTCTTATCCCCAAAGGGGTAGGCAGAGGTGCACATTACGACACTTAATGTAACACCTACTTTTCACTATTTATGTAATGAGTCCCATGTAATAGGGAGGATAGCCTATTGCCATATACCGGGCATAATTCCAGAATCCGTGCTAATACTGAGATTTTTTTAAAACCCGGTAGAACTTTTACCCGTCCCGGGAATCGAACCCGAGATCCCTTGACCGGCAGTCACTCGGCCAACGAAGCAGTCAGTTAGTAGTCTTGATTCTTATCAAAGGTTCTGCACCAGGTGTAAAAAAATCTCTTCTGAGGTAACGACTACCCTGTCCCTGCTCTGACTAAAGGCAAACTAAATCGAAATAGTACAAATATGTCTTTAACTGATACTAATAGTGAAGTTTAATATTTTTCAGGAAACGTCTAGAGAAGCCACCATACGCAGATGACCGGCTTTATAACGTGATGATGAGGTGCTGGGAACAGAAACCAACGAGTAGACCTTCCTTCTCTCAGTTGCAGGAAATACTCGGCGGTTTCCTAGAGGACAATGTGCGAAATGTAAGTCAAAATCAGAACATACTATTATTATTATGTATGTCTTTACCATTCACGGGACCACAGGGTCCCGGTCATTTGGGAGGCGTACAAGGGGCCGAAGCCAACTGCGCAGAGGCCCTTTAGACAACATTAATCTAACTGTAATGGACACACATATTATTACAACTTATTTTAGAAAAACTAAAAGCTAAAGTGTAGTTCCTCAAGACGAAAGGAGGAACTTTATGGAATCTCTAATGTTTTTATTTGTTTATCTGTGAGCAGTGACCATAAACGTAATTATTATCTATATTTAAAAGTAATAGTGTAGATAGCATCAAAAATGGTTGTCCATACCTTCTTTTGTCGATTAAACAAATGGGTATTTTCGTGGGTCAAAAATAAATTATTTTGATTATTAAATATTCAAAAATAATTACAATTTCATTCATACCTATATTTGACGATATACTTAATTTTCAATTTATTCTAGCAATTTTTTCAAAAATATGTGTGCTTTTTGACTCGAAAATATGATGACGTCATAAATTAGCTTTTGGTACAAAATTATAGAAAAATATCGTTTTTGACGTTTCGATAAAAGTATTAAATTTGATTAGTTGTAAAATAGCGGTTTAATATGAACCATCTTTATTAATTACAGATTTATTATTATTTATAGAACGACTAGTAATTAAGTACTAAAATACATTTTCAAAAAAGGAATGTGGTTTAATATATGCCCTAATTAAAATAGTAATTAAAATGAATTCATTTCCTTCCTTTGTACCGATGTACCGGTAATAGGTACCACAATAGACCATTATAGGAAAATATATCAATTATTCCTTGTAAACACTAAAACAAATCTTTATTTCTGCGCCACGTTGTAGCGATACGTTGAAACTAGTGAACTGGGTTGTAACATCAACTTACTTTTCAATGAGCTTAGCATAGCAAGCGTTTGTAGTTCCTGTTTCATACAACAGATGTCGCTAGCATCCTTATTGTGGTTAAAGCTTGTACAACTTAAGGAGTTGCTGAACTTAACTAAATATTTATTTTTATAAAAAAAAAAACTGAGGTAACGACTACCCTGTCCCTGCTCCGACTAAAGACTCAAACTAAATAGAAGCAGTATAAATTCAGATGTCTTGAACCAATATTGTATAGTGTAGTTTACTCAACATTGAAGTTGAATATTTTCGTAAGTTTTCAATTCAATATTGAAGGTTATTTTGTAAACAAAATGAAGATATTATAACATTTAAATTTATAAATGTAGTTTAGAATAATAGGTCTTTTTGACAGTACTTAAGCCTCCCTGAGCCCAATTATTCAGAATTTGTTTAAAATATTTTTATATTTTTGGTGTATAAAAATAAATATTTAAATATTTTTTTCTAGCACTACGTTGACTTAAACACGGCGTATATGGACATGAATGTGAAGCCTGGTGGTGAGGATTACCTGGCTATGGTTTGTGCACCAGACTACAATAACCTGGTGACTCCGAGCCCACACCATTACGTCAACGACAGGAGTTTCTTCCCTGCCACTCCTACACAGATAGGTAAAACACTTAATCTAATTAATTATTTATTTTTAATAATTTAGTAAAGGACTACCTACTGACCATTTAGATCATGAAAATTTTTGGTTGAAAGTATGAATATGAATTATTGTGTCTATATTTCATTTTCGGTAGATTTCAAGTAACTCGTTGTATTTAGGTTTAGTCTTTGAAACAAAGCTTATTGTGTCTATATATATTAAGGGCTATTGTAGTGCATCTTGATAATATGTCTCTTTAGGAGATAAATCCGCTAATGTAAATCAAGATTACTCTAGATCAGTAATCAATTGACTGTTACAAATAACTGTTAGACTATAATCGCTAGTGGCGCCAATTGACTGGAACCAATTCAATAAATCGTACTAATTAATGGCTACCAAAATGTGGAATTGATACAGGATTTTTGAATAGTTATGCATGTGTTCTATCCATCGATCCAATCACATGCCTTAAACCCACCTTTAGATTGTCTATGTAGGGACAGTAACTCTCACATTCATGCCAACAGTTTGACGTTGACAGTGCCTTTGTTCCATAGTAGTACATAAGATCTATTTTCGTAAATCAAGCACAATTGATGTATGGTCTACGGTACAACTGGATTTAAGCTCGAATAGATGAACTGGATAATTTACACTGTCAACGTGCCAACTCGCACCGATTAGCACCCAGCCTTAGTGCTATAGATTTTTATTGCAACGTGAACATTTCGTTTCGGTTCAATGAATTAGATTGCAATAATAGAGAGGAAAAAGGAAAAAATCCGTAATAATGTACCTAATAACATGTAACTAAATTTTAGTATTGTTTTACAAGCTACCGAAGTGAAGAAAGGTAAAATGTTTAATTCCAACACTTTAAAATGTAACGCTATGTATTTCGTAGGTTCGACTCCTACGGATAAAGCATAAACAGCCAAATATTTTCTAGACTCTTTCTATATTAAGATTACATTTGTAATCTGAGCTATGAGTAATGTAATGAAGTATTGCATAATTTTTACGGCAGTTTAATTGAATTTCCTTTTATCAGACGGAACGGCTAACACTTCATTCTGATCACGCAAAATACTACAAACGGTAAATCAACGCATGTCGTTTGTTGTAACTAACAAGAACTGTGTTGATACTGATTACTGCACTGTCCTACTTGTACACACCACACCTTTTGAACTAAAATAACTTAAAATTTCTTTGGTTTGGTTGACGTAGTAGTTAGCATCCACTCCTCGTGTGGCATGGCGTGTAAATAAAACTGTGCTCTTTAATAAAACTGTTCTTAACCTCGTGTATAATTTCAGACGAGGAAGGCTATCTACAGATGAGTCCCGCATCAAGACAGAACATATTTAGTCCACGAGCTCAGGACATGAAGTTCGACTTCGATGCTCGCAAATTTAACCCGAGGGTATCGGAAGCAAGTAGCTGTGGTTCAGAACTAACGCCAATGCTTACTCTGAACAATTTACCAGCTCGGAGCGGGTCGGAGTCCGACCACGAAGGCAACGCGTCGCCCTACCTCAACATGTGTCCCAGAATAGACGAGGAGACAGACGACGTGTTCGAGACGAACCAAAACAATGCAAAGAACGCGCTGAACACGGCGCACACTAACCCGACGTACATCTCGTTAGACGTCGACATTGAGAAGAAGCCGAAAGATATTATTAACTCGTATATTAACGTACCGAACGGTCTAGTCAAATAATTTCATTTTGTGTACCAGAATAAGCTAATCTCATTTACTAATATGTTATAGTATCTACTTATATATAACCTGCATGAATGTTAGTTTTCCTTTGCTTTTTTTCATTTTGATCTCTGTATTCTCTTAATGAAGTACTATTTTTCTTTCTTAATTTTCTTTTACGTAAATTTATATTTTCTTTTCTTGTCTTACGTAAATAATTGTGTTAGTGTCTCAAGTGTTTATTTCATTTAGAGAGCTTATTTGTTGTATCCTCATTCATGTTAATAGGTTTGTATCGTAGATGTATTGTATGTACAGAAATGTTTACTTTTTGTGTAGACTGAATGCTGTAGGTGACTCACTACTTCAGTGTGAACTAGTCAGTCACCTTTGAATAATTGAGATTCGGCATGTGATGGGTGGTCAGCCTTAAAACTAAGTAGATGCTGTTAAGTTGATTCCCGCACGGAACAACTCTTTGTGTGATCCACAGATTGTTGTTTCGGATCTGGGTGTCACGTATATGTGAACTTCTATATTTGTAAAAGCACCCACGACACAGGAGAAAATTTTAGTGTGGGGCAACGTTTAATTAAAAAAAATAAACTAAATAATTCGGTCGTAAATCATTGTTTTCGATTGTACCATTAAATTGGGACAAACAAGTATATAAAGTAACTATGGAAAGCCACAGTCATATGTCGAATGAAGTGATATTTTAATATAGGACATGTCATTGGACTCGATTGTATGAATGTAGTCAGTATCTAGACGTTCTGCGAAGCCCACCAGTAATATAAATGTGAATATTATGTTTTAAATATTCTTATTTCTACAGAAAACATTCCTATATATTTTTCTTTCGAATAGAAACAGTCTTATGAATGAATGTACCTTTATATAACAAGATTTTGTTTTATAAATGTGTGTATATATTATTTTATATATTGTAGTTGATATTGTTTGGAAAATTACACCAAATGTTGTATTCAAAACCAGATAGATGCTTGTTGTCTGTAAATTAGATAGATTGGAATTTAAAGTACACAATCTTTTTTTCTATGACATCTACGATGTATAAGTAATGGGTCTTTCAGCTATTATATACATAATTATTACATCTATTTTAGCTACGTAATTTAAGTAAATAATATATTTTAATAATAAAAAATTGACTATGTATATTTAATAGAAAACTAAGAATATTCTGGCGATCTATAAATCAACTTATATACCAAATATTATATATTATTAATTGTTATGTATGGTATTGAACATTGATAAAACTTAATATATAATACTGTGACTTCCAATTTATAGGTACTTTTCAGTACATATTTTTGAATAAGTAGAAATCTGTTGTTTTTTGATCAAAGTATATTTTTGTTGTACAAATTATGTAGATGCCATATATTAAGGAACTCAATAAAATAAAAACGAAAATATATCAATGTGATATTAAAATAATTTTACTAAGATCTTTTAATTTTTTATGTTTCCCATTAGATAGATTTTTTTCAAAAGCTTTAAGTATATATATGAAGCAAGTTAGCCATAGTTACATAGAAAAAACTCAATTAACTCGTCGAGTACCGGTTTTATAGACACAATTATAGAACAATAGGTCGCGGTCACCGGTGACCGCTTGGTGTTTGACAGTTTAATCTAATTTAATTTTAAAGTTTGAGGAACAAATTTAAATATAATTTTAAATAATTAATTTATAGTAGACATGTTGCTATAATTTTACTACTGATTGAATTATGAGCAGATTGATGATACACATTTGCACATGTCAGTATCTACTACTACCAACGCTTGCTGCATGCGTTATATGATGATGATACTATGATGTACGGTAAGGACCCTGGCAGAAACTGCGTGTGATGCAACATGGAGCCGCGTTAGTGTAATATAGACTTATGAATATATATTTTTCATATAAAGTGGCTCTCCACCCCAAAGAAAGATGATTATAATTAAAAAGTATTGATTAAGTAAAAAATTTGAGAAAATCACGGAGTACTTATATTTACCTTCATATATGTGTTTATTAATTTACATGACCCTCTATATCACATATTATCTTAAGAAACAGAAATAGACATTTGAAAAAAGGAGTCATTCACATATCCATAGTGATTAAGTATCTACTTAATAAAAGAAGTCAATGAATTGGTCTAAAAGGAACTAGCAGGCAATATCTATTTTAGGAAATAGTTTTCCATTCTTCACTATATTTCGAGCAATCTTTACACATATTTCTTTCTGTAGCTTGATTTTTCCACATGAAGCCGGAAATTAAGGAAAAAATCGTGTGTTTTGTGTCGGTTTCTTACTTGTCCGCTATTAGAAATCAATACAGGAAAAAACATCTTCTCAATCTCAACAAAGAATCAGTCAGTAGTGTGGGAAATAATAGTGAAAAAAAATTCAAGTTCCAACAAAATGTGGTTTCTGGCATTATGTATGTTCCTTTTGTCTTCTTTAGACTACCTGAAATGGCCAAAAGTGATGGTTGAAGACTATCGTACTGGGGGTCCAGATTTGATTCCCAAGTCAGGTAGAGCAAGTGTGATTTTTTGAGTTTTCCAAAAAAATTATAAATGCTGGACAAGTAAAACGTATGCTTTTCATTGTAAACCTACATAATTATAGCTACTTACATTTTTTTATGTACCTCTACACTATTTGCACAATGCGTATACAATGGTGGACTTAATGCCTAGTGGCATTACATATACTACATTTTCTATTCGTTCTGGATATCATAAGGCTGTCGTAATGCTATGGTTATTCCATAGTGTAATTTTTTTTGGGTTTTATGTTATTAAATATACATTTTTCTTTTCAAACATCACTGTAACCAAACAAAACAAAACGAAGTCAACCGTGGCATCAGCTCTCGGTGAGCGCTCTACTTAAAGCCGGTAAAGCTACATCTAATCAATTCCAATTCACGCTTGTCACGCCTATTTAACATTACATTACTACCCACTTAGACGTATTCAAACAACTAACGCATTGTTTTCAGTAGTGTGAGGCAATGACATGTTTTCGCGAACCGTACATAATAATAGCAAATGACAAGTTAATTTTTGTTAAGCATTAAAGGCCATGTCTATGTAAAAATGAGCCTAATTAGCACAAGAATATATTTATACATACGCACATACGAAGGCATTTCGAAGCGTCTCAAGTGTCTAAACGTTCACCATACATATTCAAGTTTCTAGAAACTTCTGAATACTGAACAGTGAACAGTGTCTCTAGACGCGAACTAAATGCTCCTGATTACGTTCGCCTATTTAGGATTTAGACAAAGACCTTGTATCCCAAATATTTGAAATTCGAAAGTTGGTATGTTTATTTGTTACTTCTTTACGCTTTATTTTTGCTTACAAAATATAGGTAGATGGAAGTACGGAGTAGAATGTACGGGCTTAAAAGACACACGCGGACAAAGCCAGGGCATAACAGTTGTGCAGCTGTGTTCCATGAGACGTTATATTTTGCTATCTTATAGAGCACTAGCGACCCACCCGGGCTGAGCACGGGTGCAATATTATACATAAAAACCTTCCTTAAGAATCATCTATTTAAAAAAACCCCATCAAAATCCGTTGCGTAGTTTTAAAGATCTAAGCATACATAGGGACAGACAGACGAAGGATAGCGACTTTGTTTTATACTATGTAGTGATGTTACATTTAACAATAGGCACAAATTACATCAAAATTATTCTTACTGTCTACTGTAGTACAAAACAACATTGATCCATTTCATACTTAAACACAAAACAGTGCAGTTTTAAATCAACGCTATTTCAATTATAACATTCATTCTGTCTAAAGTTAGTAGTACATCGTTGTTTCTCTAACTAAACTAAACCAAAAAGTTTGTGTATGTTACTATAGTTTGCAGCACAACTTTTTGTAAATGAAATAGAAAAGAGATACAAATGCAGCATATCAACAGACATTTAGATTGAAACTGGAGAAGAAGATGATAACAGTATTATGTCGTTTGGCCTATTCTTCTTCGGAAGGGCTGTCTGATCTTCTCCTTCTCAGAGAGTGGTGGGTGAAAGTTAAAATTCGAGGTTGTTAAGGTACATATGCTCTAAAATAGTATGCTAAAGAACTGCGTTTATTTAACCGACTTCAAAAAACCAAAAAATAATAACAACCAAAAAGTCAAAATTAAAAAGAAAAAAATAACTCATTAGTCCTGATAGGTTACCCACCCACTAAAGTTAGAAGTCTGCGCCATAAGTTCTATACAAAATTATTTATTAAAACCTTAATAGATACCTAATTTACAATTTTGTGGCCACATTATGGTATGAGCTTTTCTATAATCTATGTTTTCTATTGAGTATGCTCAAAAAAAGGTTTAAATATCGAACGCGTGTTAAACCATCAACGCCAGTGAAACCTGATATGAGCATGCCAATTTTAAGCAACATCCTGAGGTTGGACACTCATGCTACTAAGAACCAAGTGGTCAATTGAAGCATACATTCATGCTTAAAATTAGCATGTGTAATACCTTTATCGGATCGCAAGGCTTATTAGGATAGTCTTTTTTTTAAGGGTCAAAATCATCGAATGACTGCTCCCGCCTGGGTGAAGCGGGAGGGAGTGTCAGACTGTTACTAACTAAAAACCACCCCGTTCCTTCTCCTGCACGTCGAGCCGGAGCCCCGGTAACCTGTTAGATACTATTAGGTAGGACTTATTAGGATAGTCTGGTTTCTAATAGTGTAGGGTTCATAAGCAATTACACACATAACACTGACATTTGACCAATTCTGCCTAAGAATCTGAACTTTTAAAACCTCGGAGAAATTCTACTTTCATTGCATTAAAGACAGAGCAGAAATTAGTTTAAAATACTAAAGAATACGTGTGATGTTACCCGTTATCTGCATTAATCTATTTTTTCGTCACTGCACGCGGTGGAGGTTCAAATAACGCCATGTCGTACGAAAAATTAGTTTGTTTCTTTTTGGTCAAAAATTTTTGCATACTTTTTAATTGGACTTTCGTCCTTTTTAATTTAGTTGTAAATGAGTGTCGTTTCAGGAAAATGTGTTGTTAGTGCGAGGAAAACATGTTTCGTATTATTTTTAATAAAACTTTCCATACGGAACTGGGTAATGGGGTGTTCTTTTAAAGCAATTAGTTTTTCTATGTTGCTAATTAAAATACTAGTAGACGTAGTTTATCTTAATTTAAAAGAAAACAATGAAATTCTGATTAACTCGAAGAACAACGTATTCATATTTTCTTTTAAACATGTGTAAACTTCTCGCTATGAGAGAACGATGAAATAATACCATTACAAAATCAATGTTGTAAGAAACCAGAACGTAACAAATTCGAGAATATGACAATTTAAAAACTGAATAAAATTTTACTTACCCGAACCGACCATTGTGATCGTCCACTCAGCAGGTCACTCATGGTAGTTGCTACTAAATCACTAAACCATTATAAAAATCAGACATAAAACTTAAACTACAGTTTTTTTCTTTTGTAAATGGCAACCGAGAACTTGAGTTATATCAACCTATAAATACAGATTAATCTATACTTACTTTAATAGACAGTTTAAACTTTATTTCCCCGTAAATTTTCTAAATATTTTCTATTAAAATAAGAAAATAACTTGGACCAAGCTTAGTAATCAACGTCTATATTTTCAACCTTATACTTACGGAAATAGATGTCAATGTTTTCACCTTTTTCACCTGATTGTGCAACCTTGGTAGATGATTTGATTTAAACAAGGAAAACCAAGACCTTTCAAGTCACAAATGCGAATACAGAGTGTGTATTGGTATACGATTTCCGTACGGAATGGAAAGGTACAATCGTTTTGGATTTTTTAGGTAAAAACAGTCATGTTAGCAGTTTACAAAGAGATGAAAATGTTTGGTTTTTTTAAACAATATCAAGAGAAAGTACTTGTAATCAATTTAAAAATATAAATATGATTGACCATTAACGGTAATGATCTGATCAGAAATCTTGCTAGACGTTAAATTTCTCAGAATAAAGCAATGATCGATTATTCGATTTGCTAATGTAATTCTTCATTAGTAGAGGATCTTCTAAGATTATGTTTAGTCTGATTAGTACCTACAAATAAACAAAAATATTATCTTTTAAAAATCAGATAGATTTTCTCTAACATACTCTTTTAAAAAACATTTAAGCTTCTGTATTACGCCACTGAAAATAATGTTAAAGTTAATAGGATTAGTCTAGTTATGAGAACACCTTTCTCGAAAAAATAAATAAATAGTAAAATAAAACAGACGAACTTGAAAAAACGAAATGACCTTTATTAGAACTGTTTATGTGCGATTATTGCTCTTAAGAAGCTTTCAAATGTCTTGGCGCCCTGCAAAAAAAATGTTACAATTAATTCTTTCATTCAGGAGTTTACAATCCTTCAGCAAGCTCCAGCTCTAGTTACACAATATTCCATATTGTCACATTTTTTAGGGAACTTATGTCAAAATTGATTATTTTGTAAAAGCAATTATATTTGTTGCCTCGATAGCCGAGTCGTGGCAAGTGCGACTGCCGGGCAAGGGGTATCGATCCCCGGGTCGAGCAAAGTATTACTAGGTTATAAAAAATTCTCAGTAGTAGCACGAAGTTTGGAATTGTGCCCGGTATATGGCAATAGGCTCACCCCCTATTACATGGGACTCATAACATAAATAGTGTAAAGTGGGTGTTACATTGTTTAGTGGCATAATGTGCACCTCTGCCTGCTCTTTCGGGGATAAAAGGCGTTATGTTATGTATGTATGTATTATGTATGCAATTATATTTCTAGTAAGCAAATCTTAACATAAATAATATGTGGGTTATCGAAACGGGCTTTAATTATTTTATACGATCAGTAAGTGCATACGCGTCTATGATTATTCTGGACCCCTTGGGACATCTCGGGGACTTCAAAAAGCCATTGGTCTTGTTCGTCTCACAAAAAAGACTATGACAGTCTTTATGGGCAATTACAAGTTCGAAACTTTAACCTGGTCATATAATATAAAAGGTTTCAAAGGAAGAAAAGCAGAAGTTGATTGCCTCATTAAGTTTAAAATTTCTATAATAATGAATTTAAATTCTTAATGTTTTGGGGTCAGAGTATAAAGTCGGAGGGCAGACCTAGTATGCAGATACATAAAAGTAATACACTATGAATAATTAATCCCTCATTCATTTATTTTACATCAGATTATACTGAAGAATATAATTTATTATTTTGAATCTCATTTCGAAAACAGTTCACGAATAATATATTATGTATTTTGATTGATGATGGTTACGTGCATGAAAATCTCGACATAATTGTGGTACTTTAATAAAATTTCCAATTAGTTTGGATTCAGGTCTGTCGATTTATCAGATCCTACTGAGCTTTCTGGATTTAACACTGAGTTCTTGCCATCAGCCTCTCATTAGATAATAAGACTCCATGTCAGACTTCTAGAGTCTAGAAGACTCAAAACAATTCTCTAATATTTGCTAACTAGGTTTCCATGTTCTACGATGCAGTCCCGATATTAGCATTACTACGCATGATGGGTTACCACCCATCGAAAAACCAATACCACTGTAAACTTAGAAAGCAATTCATTCTCACAACTTAGCCACGAGCTCCTTTATAAAACTTTCATAAATACTGTTGGCGAAAAATAACTTACATATTTACAGGCTTGTACGATACCCCATGGAACAGCCGTTACGAATGCGCCAAAGTTCTGAGCCATCTGAAAATATAAATAACGACAAACATTGTAAATGAATAGTGAAATATATACGAACAAATCTCTTTGTATGACATAAAGCCAATTTAAAGGAAAATCCCAATTGATTTAAATCTACATTCGCAATTCAATTTCTTTTTTTTTTCGAAAAAATCTTGCGCTATTTAAATTTTAACCGAGCCTGTTTGTTGGGTAAATGTGGTTTTACGACTTTCGAACACGAATTTCTGCTTCCGTTTTTCGGGTAAAGTAAAGTATTTTAAAATTTGGGGATAGCCTTATTTAAAATTTGGAAAAATGTTCGGATTTCCTGATGCCCCATAATAGATAATTATGATTAACAATTTATATTATATGGTTCTACATTTTGTTTATGCTACAATCATTTAAAAAAATATTGGTAAGTGGTGACTTTAGCTTAAATACACACGAACCAGGCATTACAGAATTATTTTACAGACGAAGAATATTTTGATGTTTTATCTAATACTGTGAATGAAATCGCACTATTTAAAACCGCAAATATTTCAAGTTCACAACTTACAGATTGAGTAGCGGTAGTTGGAGAAGAAGTAGCGATAGTAGCTGATGATGACGACGACGAAGAAGTACCAGTAGCAGTGGTAGCTGTTGTCGGAGTGGGAGCAGCAATAGTGGTAGTATTATTCTGACAGAAACTCACTCCCACCAAAAACACCACCAAAATGAACAATTTCATGTACACAGAAGCCATTTTTGAAAACAACTGTATGCGTTAAATCACTTTACATAAGCTTATATAGGCACGTTTGGTTGACAACTGAAATCATACGTGGATAGAAAAACCTATCTGTTGCTTATTGCTTTTTGGAGATCTGCTGCATAAAATTTATATGCTGCCACTAAAATATAAAATAGTTCTTTATCACTCGAATCATGCTTCGCTGTGGAAGTCAATTTTAAACTGAAAATTATTGAATCAAAAATGAAGCATATCAAATGAAAACACCCATGTAATAAACGACGATCCCACTTTTGAAAAGAGTAACAGAATACTGATTGATACTTACCCACAGTTTGGGAAATCAACAAAACTTTATCAGTAAACAAATAAAATTGGCCCATTAAAGTAGCCTCTTAAATGTACTTCAGTTTGTTATTAGGTATCAGGTAGACACGTGGTGCGGAACCTTTTCTATGCGAGGAGACACGCACTTGGCCGGGTTTTTTTGATGGCTTCTCTTTGAACGGAGGCCACTTGAAATTTTACCCTAATGAATATTCAGTGAGTGTGTTGTAAGTAGTTTAAGACAAGTCTAGGGCATAGCTGAGCTCAAGTTTAATTATTTAACTACGTTGTCCTGGCTCTTTGAGGTTTTTTTATTGGTAGTCTACTTATATTTCTAAAAGAAATACAATGAATATTTTGTAGCTGTAGAATGTCTGCAGCTTAAATGTATAATAGAGGCTTATAATATTTTTTTATTGTTTTGAATACTGCCTCGTTGGTTGAGTGGTCGCAAGTGCGACAGCCGGGCAAGGGGTCTCGGGTTCGATTCCCGGGTCGGGCAAAATATTTCTGGATTTAAAAAAATCTCAGTATTTGCCCGGTATATGGCAATAGGCTCACCATCTATTACATGGGACTCATAACATAAATAGTGAAAAGTGGGTGTTACATTGTACAGAGGTATTAAGTGCCGTAATGTGCACCTCTGCCTACCCCTTCAGGGATAAAAGACTTGATGTTATGTTATGTTATGTTGTTTCGATTATTTTGTCATCACAATAAATACAGAATCATCATCATCATCATTAACAGCCGGAAGACGTCCACTGCTGGACAAAGGCCTCCCCCTAATATACCCCCTAAAATACAGAATCGTATCGATATCCTAAAATATACAATCGATGAAAATGCAGTGATTTCGATAGTATGTATAAATAAAATAATTTATTCTTTGGTTTTCACAGTATTATCTTCAAAAGAAACATACACTCGGTGTCTAAAAATGTAGATACTAGGTTTTACAATATTCAGATTTTCAGTACCAAAACGTGGGCTCTACGAAGCGTGGCAAGCCAATCTATTACTGTCTCACAGCAGAACAAAGGACTTAGAGAAAAGTAACGAGCATTTATGATCACACTTGCACATTGCAAGCAGTAATTTGATACTTAAATAAATATAATGTGCTGTTACAAGCTCGGACGTCATTAGACTGCGTCTTGAAGTTGAGAGTCCACGTTGCGTAGTTTGACGAATATAATATGCAACCTTCACAAACAATAGGTGGCCTACAAATAACGAATGCTAGCATCTTGCTTAGAACCAATGAAAACCTAGTGCTTTTGACGACCGTATGCATTCGATAAATGACACAACGTGGGCAGTAAACCTTAGTCACTTTGATGAAATAATATAATACAGGTATAATATAGTATAGGTAGGTAGGGTATGTACTATAAACTCTATCTTTGTATTTATTTAATTTAAACACTAATTTCAAGATTCATAGACCAAAAATACAATGCATAAAGTTACCCGCACCCCGACATAATCTGGATGTCCTTCGTGTCGGGAATCACAGGTATTTTATAAGTAGATACTTATTCAAATATTTTATAAGAAACTTGTGTCAAAATAAACTACATCACACTAGATAAGGAGGACATTCAAAGCAAAGTCAATTAGTAACGCGGTAGTACTTCCGCGCAATATTATTATACTCAGTGAAATTGTAGATGCAACCATACAAAATGCAGGGAACGTCAACACAAAAGAACATTGTGCGTTCCACCTCTTCGTTACTAGGATGCAATCCAAGCACATCAAAATACACCTTCCCATTATAAAAAGGCCTCTAAACATACACCAAACCTAAAAAAATCTAGTTCAACTTGTGCTGGTTTTGTAGCATGATCTGCTTTTATACAAGTAAAAACTGTACCAGCTACCTCTTCCCTGCAGGCAGTACATACAGTACATTCATGATTCAAAACATTTGCTTCGCGTTTGCTTACGTTTTGAAAGAATTGCGACATGCTGGAATACAATGCTATACTATACTACTTTTGCAAATTAAGATTGGCATTTAAAATTAACCAATTGTAAAATAGTAATAGATTTTTTACACTATATAAAAACAGCATTGCATTATCAATCTTTATAATATCCACTGCTGAACATAGACCTCACCCAATGATTTCTAAGGCGACAGATCGGAACCGACCTGCGTCCGGTTGTTCCCTACATCTTTAATTAGGTCGTCTGTTCACTTAACTACAAAAACATTAAACCAAAAACGTATTGGAAGAATTAGAATTCTAAACAGGAAAATAATGTAAAAGGTTTCTGGAATGCTCCCCGTAGTCTAGTCACATTGTCTAAGTAAACATTAGGATTAGACTCCCACGTCGCGTAAAGCAGTTTTCGTTGAAGTTCGTTGCGGTAGCAACGCGTGTTTGACAAGGTAATATGACCTTTATAGTCAACATTAAGCGTGCCCACTCGCAGAGAAACATAAATACGTACAATAATTTGTTTTATAATATTTATTATTAAACCCAAAAGCAATATTGTCCCGGAGGCAAAAGGCCTTTACAAACATAAGATTGATTACCACGCTCTCGGAATATTGTAAAAGACATGTTTAAAAACATGGTACCTGTAATGTAAGTTACGTTTTAAAACATTTGAGTGCCTACTCCGTTCGATGTATTCCGGCTGATTAAGCTTCTTCAATCCCTGAAATTGAAACCGGCGTGTGTGGAAACAATGCTGGTGTTCGTGTTATATAGGTATTTTCGTTGTAAACTAACACATAAACAAAGTACGAGTAACTAGATCGTTTGATGCATTGCCAAATAATTTATTGAAGGCTTTATTTCGCATTCTACGAAGGGTTAATATTAGTGTATATTATGTCTAAAAATGGAGTAATAGATCTTAATGTTACGTTGTATTTAACAGCTAAATGAATAAAGATTTCCGAAATAAATAATTTAATATGACATTGTAATAAAATGAACCGATAATTAAAATGAATGCAAAATGTAAAATGCAAGGATCATTTTCAATATATTTAATTTCTTTCACGATAATATTTCAATAAATTTTGCCATGAAATACGACTGACCGAGTCCTATACATCTCGTTCCAGATAAAATGACTGACTTTAAAGGGTTTGTGTAAAATTTAATCGATAAACGGAAACGGTTCGGCTCTCGATCTGAGTACGCTCTCAAGTAGCCATTGACCTTTTTTAGCCTGAATTGACGGCACTTCACAACATACAAATACATTATGTGGGCATGTCCATTGAATTCTCTACCTACGCTATTCTACACCACTAAAGTGTCGTTTGTACGAAATTGAGATACAAGAGCTGGAATAGGGATGTTTTCTTTCACGTAAATAGGTTGATTAAGTGTCTACTTGAATTTCAATTAGGATTGCCGTGTTTTCTCTATATATTCTCCCCACCGAAAAGTATTTGCTAGACTAAATTAAAAATAAATATACATTTTTACTATACAGATGTTGTTACTCAGGGTACCACGATATATAGAATTTAGGTTTAAGTATCGTACATAGAACGAAGCAATGGTGTTCTTTATGACGTCACATAGTGTCACATAGCATATGTGTCCACAATTACACGCCAACTATTAGCTTACAGTGTTTTTTTGATTTCTTTCTCGTTATCTAAATCATTATAAAGTGGAGATTTATCCATTCCAAAACAAGGGTTTTACGTCTTATAGTAAAACATACTGCGTTTCTCAACGGCCTGTCTACTCAATTGCGTCAATATTTAAACTTGATGACTACAAGCGAGTATTTCAATTACAAATTAGTTCTTTATTCTATCTAACTGAAGGTTGACGTAAGAAAAACTCAATTTCATTGAATGTTAAAGTGTAACGAATGTCGTGGTGGAGAGTGCTCTTGACATGTTGGACAAAAGCAATACTCGGGACATGGACACATAGAGTATAAAGAAACCCGAAATAGTTTATCCATCTTTAGTCCTATACTAGTGTGTAGGACCACTTTAGCCTTTGTATAGGTTCTTTATAAAAAACTTCCAAACGATATACATATGTTGGAACAATTAGTCATAGTTCATCAAATAATTTTGCTCAGAAATGCGTTTATTTTTGTCTGTCGCTTTGTCAAAATCAATTAGTGACTAGATCTCAGGGAGATGACAAAAATAATGCGAGTTTTACTTAGTAGTAATTTTTATATCAATTTACAAAGTCATGTAGGCACTTATGTAGAATTGAGCAAGGAATGGTTTGATTAGAGACTTTTTTATTTCGTAGGTTGCATACAGTTTCATATGTCGTCATCATCATCAATATCAACAGCCTATAAATGCCCACTGCTAAGCAAAGCCTCTTCTCATATGGAGAAGGTTTGAGCATTAATCACCACGCTTACTTAATGCTTATAATTAGAAATTATATGCTCAGGTTTCCCCACGATGTTTCCTTCACCGTTTGTCAGTGGTGTCCAGAAAATCTTAGAAAATACATAAGTATAATTCGGAAAATATCACATTGGTACTTGCCGTTGGTAGATTTCGAACCCGCACCCTCATGCATGAGAGGATTCTTAAACCTCTGGGCCACCATGGCATTCGTATATCAATAAACAGATATATCAGATATTATAGTTTTCAAAAATGTTACTCCAATAAAGAATCTAACTCAAGAGCTCTTATTCCACTTGACCAACGAAACACATTTTATTCTAGTATGTATTTAGTCGAGTTAATCTAC